GGAACGTATGGCACAACCACATTTTATCAGTGTAAATTAAGATTCAGAATCTGAGGAAGACGGACACAATCCATCATGTAAGGCTTTTTCCTCTCAGGGAAGCAATTTCTATCTCCTGAATGATAAACAGAATATTATATACATTGAGTATAACAAGCTAGATTATACTGGAATATAAACTTGATAGTAAATTATCTTTGGGGAAAAGAAAGAAGGAATTCTGTTAGTACCAGAATCAGTGAGTGAAGGGGGTGGGTGGCTGGGGTAAGGGTGATGTGATAGGGGAGGTGTGGAGGACAATGCAAAATATTTGTTACAAAGTAGATTGCTGCAATAGAGAAAGCAAATTAGAATGGTGCAAGTGGGATTGCTTCTTGCTTCATCAGCCTCAGATGAAGAAATCCTTAATGTACATTTGAATTGAATTACATAAAGGCTAAAGAAAACCATTCTATTTTGTTATCACAAGAGGTTGTCCCTTAGTAGATGCAGCACATTTATATGTAGAGTTCTGATTACTGAGAGAATTTCTTGTGCCTTATAAAATGTTCACATCTGAATGTGATAACTTTTTTTTTTCATGAAAAGCATTAGTGTCATTCTTATCAACGTAACTGCTCCACTGGCTTCTGCATTTTAATTAAAAAATGTATTCTTTCCACAACTTTCTGAAGCCCAGTTACAAGTCAATTTTATTTGGACAAATTGGTTTTAATCAAATAGTGAAATTTTGATAAGTGACAAAAAGTAGATCTGGAACAAGAGTATAGGAAACTGAATATTGATATGGCTAAGAAAAATAATTAATAATAATAATTCAATCAGATTAGATAATTTATATGCTCTTTGTTTTATGTAGTGTGTATGTTTGTGTGTGTTTAGGGAAAAGGATAAATAGTGGACCTGAGATTTCATTAGTATAGTGAACTCAAAGATGAAAGAAACTTCCTCTTTTGAGTCAGGTTGGCTTGGCACCTTTTCTAAAACTTGTCTTAGGAGTTGGTTAGTGTTGTGGTTTGGGTTGCTAGGAACCCTGAAATGCAATGGTACAGGGTGGGTCTGCCTTGAAAGAATTCAACCACCCAAGTCTTTAAGTCAGAGAAGTGAGGTTATGAAGACAGTGGTTGGGGTGGGCAAGATTCTTAGTCAGTCTGCACTATTTGTGATGCCAATACAAGTGGGCCAGATTCTTAGGGAATCTGTGCATTTGATGAGGTTAAAATTGTTATTTTATACAGAAAGGCTGTGAGAAGATCTGGATGTCATTAAGGAGTGGCAAGTAGCCTGGGATGGGCCAGTGGGCCAGGTGCAGAAAATGAGGGCCACAATGAAAGGGCAGTTAAAAGGATTATGCTGGAATGGGCACGATGCCTCAGATTAATGTCAGAGATCTGGTTTCCTGAAATTAGTGGGAATATATGGGAAAAGTTCTAGGACCCTTTTTTAGAGGTCCCATTGCTTGATTAGTCCCATCACTTAAGAACTTGAGAGCTTAGGTGATTTGCTCAGGGTTACAAAACTAGTGTTTGATTGGCAAGGGGGGGAGGAATAAGACCACTGGAACCCAGGTCATCATTATTCTAAAGTCACCTCTCCACCTGGTAAACAATATTGCTTCTCATACATGTGGGCATAGTACATGTAGCTATTTGTATATGAATCATTTCTGTACTATACACAGTTAGATGAGAAGCAGCATGACTGAATGAATAGAGAGGTGGCTTTGCAGTCAGGACCACTGGAGTTAATTTAGTCTCCTCTCCCTAAACACACAAACATGCTAGACTGGGTAAAAGTAAAACTGGGCAAGTGTTTTAACATCTGAGAGCCCTAGGCCTGCTCTCCAAGTGCTTTAGATAACTGCAAACAAAGAGTACTGATTTAGGTAGGACAAGGGCTTCAACCCTGGCTTTGTCATATGCCCTCTAAATGACCTTAGCTATACTTTCCTGGGCCTCTTTTTCCTCATCCATGAAATTGCACGGGTTAGAACTAAGACCTCCCCAATTTCCACCGTGCTTCTGGCTCTAAATCTCTAACCCTATAATCCTATGTAGATAGTGCTAAATGAGGTATACAAGAGAAGGGAAGAGTCAGGGAGCACTTAATGTAGAAGGTTAGACTTTAAAGAATAAGTAAGAGTTCATTAAGGAAAACTGGGGAATTCAGATATGCCAGGCACAGAAAAGGGCATGGGACAGGCACAGATGTATGAAAGTGGAGGGCCTGATTAGGGGATAGCAAATAGTCCAATTTACTTGAGTAGCCACTTTGTGATTATCTTTTGGGAACATTCCTTTTCTAGTATCATCACCAAAAAAAAAAAGTTCTCATTAGTTAATCCAAAAGGATCTGGATAGTCCTAAAACATACAGTATATAAATCAAGCAATTATGTGACCTCCATGATTCACTATAGAGCAAAAGTGTCAAATAGGCCACAGGTGGTCCAAACACTCCTAGATATGGCCGTGGGTCCTTGTACATGGTTTAGTGGCCCTCATTTCTATTTGAGTTTGACACCATTGCTATGGATTATATTTTTCTACTGACTTCAACACTTATGTTCATTAGAAATAATATCACAGAAGAGTATCTCAGAGTTGTAAGGGACCCCAGAGGTTAACAAATTGGAATCAAACTTTTATGTGTATCACAAATATTGGCCTGATAAGTGGTCATTCAATTTTTAGCTAAAAATCTCCAATGTGGGAAAACTTACTAAATCCTAAGGCATCAAATTAATGCCCATTGTAGGTACTTTCAGAAACATTAACAAAACATAAGATGCCGCTTTTTCTATGTTGTCTTTACTTAATTCTTGGAAAACTAAGAGTCTCCATGAGGTACTTTAAGGAGGATTATATTTCACCTTTTAAAGAATCCATGATTTTCATAGTGTGGAGTTTCCTTCCAAATGCAGCTATTCTGTGTCTTAGTAGGTTTTGCAAGTTACCTTGAGTGTGTGTGTGTGTGTGTGTGTATAAGTATTCACACACATGTTGTGGGGGTGGTGGTGGAGAGAGATCACCATTCAATGAACTTGGTAATGAGAGTCCTTAGATGACAGATCTACAACCCATCACCAGGCCTCCACTCCAAGACTTTCTAGTTTCACAGAACTTACCAAAGTTGGTGATTTGTTGCATAGCCTTTATGAATACAGAGCCATTGCCAAGCCTCGATAAAGCATCCAAGTAGAAATTCAGTGAAGGAAGTAGGAACTTAGAGTGTAAGGATTTTATTACCATGTTAATAAATGGTTCCCAATAAAAAAGATAACTTAATATTTTCTTCTATTACATTTGAAATTGAACAAACTGGCCTCCTTAATTCAATGAACCATTAAATAGGGAATAGTAACTTGAGTCCAAAGAATAAGTCCTATTTGTAGAAATTATCTGTGTCCAAGGCATCTTAAAATGTACTTAACATTCTGCTTAAAATCATATGTATTCATCATGGCTAAATGTTTTCCTTTTCCATTGTAATTACAATTATTCTTGAGAGGAGGCTTGGAGACATAGTGGAGGTAGTGCTGAGTTTGGAGTCTGGAGCATAGGATTAAAAACCCACCTCCTAGTCATACTAGTTCTATGTTGTTTGACAGGTAACTTAAATTCTCTGTACCTCATGTAATTCCCTAGGACATATCTATTAAATCATAAACAATGTTTTGTTACTATAGGGAATTCCCACACTGGAAATTTTTCACAATGAAAAAATAACAAATTCTTCATATTGAGTATATAAATATACACCTACTTTTATATTACTAAATAATTCTTCCATGGAAGGGATCTTATATTTCTTTGTTTGTATTATATAATGCCTAGTTTTCCCAAAGGGAAATTTGGGTAAAAATTTCTGGCTTGCATGGAATATATGTGCATACATTAATACGCACATATATCCATACATACACACACATAAACATGTGCATACGTGCATACATACATGCACACACATACACGTACAGTTCTTCTTAAACTTTTTCTGCTTGTGACCCATTTAGAAATTCTTAAACTGTGGTCACAACTGTGAGAGAGAGAGAGAGACAGAGAGAGAGAGAGAGAGAGAGAGAGAGAGACAGACAGACAGACAGACAGACAGACAGACAGAGAGAGACAGAGAGAGAGAGAGACAGACAGAAGAAAGATTTGTAAGTGTTGAGTATCTTTACTTGAAGCAAACATAACAGCAAGGTGTAATGGAGAATTAGATTCAATATTTATCAGGTAACAGACATGTTATCTGCTACTAAAATTGACATAAAATCTGAGCATCAAACTAAACATGATTGACTGAGAATCAAGATTTTAGCCCCAGATTCACCACTTTACTTTTTTTTTTTCATGAATAGTATTTATTTGGAAATGAATATGATTTATTTGGAAAAAGTGAAAGAATATAATGGTCATTTTCTACAATAGATGCTGTTATTTGTAAGAACTTTGAGATACTATGATGGAAAGGAAAATGTTTCAATTTAATTTACAATCTTGTAAGCATATATTAAGAGACAGCTGTATGCATTATGTATGGCTTAGGCAATGAGCTCTTAAACTGGGTCCACTGTGGACTTTATTTGTTTCTGTTGTTGCTTTAATGTTGATAGCTATTTCAATATATTATAATTGTTTTCCTTTGTAATTTTATGAATTGTATATACTGTATTTAAAAGTATTACTCCTAGGAGTCGATAGGCTTTGACAGATTTTCAAAGAGGTCCATGACTCAAAAAATGGTTAAGAAACCTAGGCCTTTGGCAAATTAGAAAGCTCCAATAAGATTCTGTCAAAAGTTAGTTAATAAATATTGATTAAGTGCCTCCTATGTGCCAGGCACTATGATGAATATTAAGGTACTTGTCCTTATGGAGTTCTAGCTTACGACTTGGCAGAAGAGCTTGACATACACACAAATTAAAGAAATGCAAGAGATAGCTATTAAACAAAAATAAATCCTAATATGCCCTTAAATTTCTGGTTTTCTTTTCAGGAATATACCATAGATATAATTTTTGCCCAAACTTGGTTTGATAGTCGCTTGAGATTTAATAGCACAATGAAAGTCTTGATGCTTAATAGCAACATGGTAGGGAAAATTTGGATCCCTGATACTTTCTTCAGAAATTCAAGAAAATCAGATGCTCATTGGATAACAACTCCTAATCGACTGCTTCGAATATGGAGTGATGGAAGAGTTCTCTATACCTTAAGGTAATATTTTGATGTTGTTATTTTAAGTAGAACATATATGTATGTGTATGTATCTTTAGCCCTTTATCCATAGTAGTTTTCTACAACCCATTAAATATTTTTTTTCTTTTTTTAATAACAAATACAGAAATGACATTTCAATACATCAAGTTTACAGATAATTTTCTACACATACAAGTTTCACAAAATAAAGGTATTACAGAATGTTTTAAAATGCATTCATGTTATAAGGATGGTTAGGAGTCGTTGAGTAAATCATCTTTACAAATGATGACCAGAAAGCAAGGTGTTGTGCAGATAGAGTCTATGTCATTTCCCAAGTTCCCCTTCTATAATACGTTGTTTTTGTTGTTGTTCAGTCATTCTAGTTATGTCTGACTCCTTGTGACCCCATTTGGGATTTTCCTAGCAAATACACTGTATTGTTTTAACTTTTCCTTCTCCAGCTCATTTTGAAGATGAGGAACTGAGACAAATGAGGTTAAGTTACTTGTCAAGGGTGACACAACTAGTATGTCTGAATTCAGATTTAGCTGAGGAAGTCTTCCTCACTCCAGGCCCTACACTCTATCCACTGTACCACCTAGCTTTCCAAACAATACATAGGTTTGCCTTTGTAAAAACAAACAAATAAACAAACAAACATATAAACGTATTGGCCACTCCAATTATCCCCTGCTCTCCCTGTAAACTCAGGCTTTCCCATTATGGGACCTTACCAAAGCCTACCCTTCTGCTCAGCTTGCTATCATGAACTTTTCCTCCCTTTTTTTTTTTCAAAGTCCTCATGAAAATACAGCTGTCCTATATACTACTTCCCCAGACCCTTTTCTCTTCTAGCTAAATTGATAAGTTAATTCATGCTCCTCTAAAGTATTAATGGGCATAATGAGACTTCTTTATAGAATGAAAGTTGTAAGTTATACAAAGAAAAATGAGAAAATCCATGGCAGGGGTAAGAGGGTTGTTGAATTTTTTCCATTATGACTTTCTCATAAGAAGTGCCATAAAGAATGATAAATTGTCCAAAAGGTGGTTAATCATTTAGTAAGTGGAAGTGAGAAATAATAGATAGGCAACCTCCCCTACCAGTTATTAGTGCTCCCCCCATATATTTCAAAGGATTGTTATCTCATAGATTATTTTACACCTTCCTTCTCTATCCTGTATTATACATAATTTGTGTTCAGATTGTGTTCACCACCTGTAGCAGGATGTACATTATTTAAGAAGAGGGACCATTTTATTTTTGTCTTTTTTGAATATAATACCTGGCACAGGGCCTTGCACATAGTAAGTACTTAATGAATGATTATCAGACAGAATCATATGTACAGTGGTAGACAAGAAGAACCACAGCACAGAGATCACCAGTTCAGTGCAGCATTAAAGTAATGGGTCAATGAATTATTCTCCATATTAGTGTTCAAGGAAAAGCAATAATTCAAAGAATTTCAGGTAGCAAAGGAAGACTGTAAAGGGAGACATTTGGGGGAAAAGAGCATCTCTCCAGAGAAGCTCAATAAATATCGCATATTTATAAATCAGCCTGTTCTGCCTAGAGCCAGACCTGCCAATATACAGATGTTTTGGTTATTTAGTCCAGGAAGCATCATTATTGATTGAAGAAATCAAAATAATTTATATTCACATGGAAAATTCTCTAAATCATTATTGATTTAAAAAATGTAAATGGAAACAACCTTGAGATATCATTTTACACCTACCAGATTGGTTAAATGATGAAAGGGGAAAGCAACAAATGTTGGCGGGGATGTGAAAACATGGGGACACTAATCATTGTTAGTAGAACTGTGAACTGATCCAACCATTTTGGAGAGCAATCTGGAATTATACCCAAATAGCATCTTTTAAAATTTCAGCCTCTAACCTCCCTCCCCATGGTTATTACAACTGTTATTACCTTCTTTAGCTTCACCCTAAGGTACTAAAAAAATCATTTCTTGTCTCTTCTAACACATTCAACTATCACAATTCTAGCTTTCCATTCAATGTGAAAACTCTTAAAAATAGTTTGACTCCAATGCCTATACAGTCCTGATATTTCACTCTCTTAACATTTTGCATTCAAGCTACTGATCCTATCATCCTTATTAATTTGATTTCTTAATCACCAAATTCAGTGGATTTTTTTTTTTGAATCTTGATTGTCATTGACATTTCTCCAATTTTTACATGGGTGATTACCTCCTCCTCCTCCTCCAGGTTGTTATCTTCTCCCTTGGCTTCAGACATACCACTGACTCCTTATTTTCCTCCATCTGTAATTTCTCTGTTTCTTTCCCTGGTCACTCATTTTTTTTCCCTTAGCTCCTTAATATGTGTGTGGAGGGGAGGGGTCATCATACCACAAGAATATGTCTTTGGCTCTTTTTTTCCTTCTAACCTCTGTCCCTCTGTGGCAATGATTTACATCTAGTTTCAACCGCTGCTTCTATTAAGGTGACTCTCATTTACGTTTTCCTAGTCCTGACTATCATTTTTTTTTTCCCTCCTGGGCCCAAAATTGTAGCTTCTATCAGCCAAAATACATCTGCTCTTTAAATTGTCATCATCACAACTTCAGTTTCTAAAACCAAGCTTATTATCTTTCTTTCTATAACCTGCTACTCCTTTTGACATTATTATGTTTATGGTACTGTTCCACACATTTATAACATTGGTTTCATCTAATCAGTTACCAAATCCTGACGACTCCTTCTATACCCCTTCCATCAGGCCCCTCCTACTTACTCCCATTCCCATTGTCTCTGGACTATTTCAATAGCCTTCAGCAGGTCTTCTGACTCCACTCTTCTTCAACACCTCCCCTCTCCCAATTTATCCTTAATATTGCTTCCAAAATCATATATATATATATATATATATATATATATATATATATATATATATATATATATGTATATATATATATATATATATATATATATACACACACATACATATGTATATATATATAGAGAGAGAGATAGATAGATAGATAGATAGATAGATAGATAGATAGATAGATAGATGGAGATAGAGATAGATAGATAGAATTTGCATGGGATTTATCACTTTGCTCCTCTGCTTCCAAGTTTTTGGTGGCTCCCTCTGGTCTATTAAGTAAAGACTATTTGATTTTCATTAAGATTCTTATCAAAGTTCTACAATTTGGGTCTACTTCACTATCTATCTTCATCCCAATTATGCATGTCCATTTACTTTATGTTTCAACAAATCTGCTCAGTTCTTCTGTATAACTACAGTTTCTGACCATCTACCACTTATGTCATGCACATCAACTTATATGCTTTTGTTCATACTCTGCCCTATTTGTGAATTGTTTCTCCTACCCCAACTATTGAATGTCTCCCTATCCTTTAACTGCTAATCAAATGATACTTCTGTGAAGACTCCCCTACTTTTTTCTGATTAAACCTCACATAGTACTTTGTTTTCTATCTCTGTAATGTACTTAAAAAGTGAACCTCTCTGTACTTGAGTTTCCTTCTTTCTAAAATGGAATTGAAGTTGATGGTCTATGAGGTTCCTTTCTACTCTTCATCTATGACCCTATGAAATATTACGCATTATGGTTATCTAGAAACCAAGAGGGAATGGACTGTCTTGTCTCCCTCAGTATCTAAGACAGTGTCCCCTTTCACACAAATACACACACTAGGTGCTTAATAAATGCTGAATGGATGAACCAATGATGACTTTTGATGTGCCCTATAACATACTCCTTTCCAAACTTACCACTAGCTAAGCCTATAAATTTGCTTTTATAGAATCTCTCTCCCTACATTCCTCACATCCCCTTAGTGACTGAGCCCAACTCCCAGAATAAGACAGGGCTAATCATGGATTCTCCCGGTGTCATTGAAGCCTTTTTAGCTACTTGCTTTTATTGCTTCTCCTAAAGCTCTCTAAATACCCACACAAATATATATTTGTATATCTGTGTCTATGTATCAATTTAATTACAAGCTGTAAGTCAAAGAGACTTTCAACAACTTGCTCCCACTCTATCGCAAAATTCCAAAACCTTAGAGACAGTTTATTTCTAGAGGTGTCTCTACATAAAAAAATCTTCCCCCAATGTGAATCCTATACTTTCCTCCAACAGCATTTTACACAGAGTTTTTATTATTGGATAGGAGAAGGGAAAGATGAAGAATGTAGTTTAAGACATTTACTTTTCTGACCATGTCTTTTTTTCTGAAGCCAGCAGAACCCATGCTCCCAACATAAAACATTTTTTTTAAAATGACTCTCAAATTCCTTCCTAGCCTTTAGACTTTTCTCATTCTATAAAAATGTACCATCAAAAGGTATATCCAGTATGTGAAAATTGATATCCCATGATGAGAACACGTTTTTGTTTTGTTTTATTTTAAATTTAAAACTTGTCTTTCCTGGATCTCTACCATTTCTGTCTACCTCCTCCAGAAATGCCCTTTTCACAGTCTATAGAAAACCTTTAGCACCTCAGGGGCTCTTTGATTCATATGTCTGAGAAGAAACCATTAAAGTACTTGAAAATACCACAAAGAAAATGATCCAATGATGAATTTCAGATTGACTCATAATGAAATTTGTTCAATGGACGCTTATAATCAAATAACAAAAGCCTTAAATAGGGCAGTATTTTTCTATTAAATCAACTTAAATGACCACATTATGAATATTCTGGTTTGAGCTAAAATATGATAAATGTATGCTGGGAAGTAATTCATTGTAGGTCTCTAAAAGTTTTGCTTTAAATTTAATTGAACTACCTTCTAAACTTATATTTAAAGAAATCCATAAGTTGGATTAAAATAAATTATATTAAAAGGAAGAGCAATTATTCCTGGATACATTTTCTCATCTGCTATTACTAGATATAAGTGGCTGATAATTATCAGTTGCTGAAACATTTTTTTGCAGCACTTAATTTGTGAAATATATGAAATCATAAGTGTCAAAATAATATCACTAGTATCTGTGTTACCAAGTATCTAAAGGCTTGCATTGAACACAAAAACTGATTTGAAATCTATCTTTCCTAAGACCTATTTAATCTTTCTAAAAAAAATTATAACATCTCTCCTAAAGTACTTTGTGCCCATTTGCACCTAAGCTTGTTATAGAAAGTGACTTCAAACTGATGCTAGTGATTTAAATTCTTGTCTTCTGCTCTACTCAGTGGTGATGATACCAGCATAGAACTTCATTTTAATCGAAACTTGGTGCTGTTATTATATACCCAGGATAGAGTAAGATAAGAAATGGTTCCAAAATGCACAAGATCTGAGGAGATAGCTACCTGCTAAAGCTAACTAGATATTCCATTAGGAGTGCTGCCTGATTCACAAACACACTGATGACCTGGAGGCTTTTTATTCAGAATACAGGGTTCTAACCTCTTCCATATTTAGTTATGTGAATTCTAACAGAAGATACAGGTGGATGTCCAATTGTCTCCTGGCAATCTACCAAGTTATTTGGATATTTGAATACCAGCCAATTGCAACTTTCACACTTTTTGTTTGCCCAACCTCACTCATTCATTCCCAGAAGCAATTGTGTTTAAGAGTGATGTTACTAATACTTTTGACCTATCTAGCAATTCATTTCTTAGAAAATAATACTCTTTCATATTTAATACCTCCACTACCTATAATAATCACCTAATAGTTTGTCATGGCAGCCAAATAAAAAAAATGATACTTCAATAGATCTATAATTATTACCAAAATGGGAATACCCTTCAACAATGAATAACCCATCTGTGACCGCTCATACTTTCTGACTCATTCATATCTTTTCAAATATTCTCAATAGTCTACTTTAGGACCTTCTATGTTCTTTGACATAGTCTAGATACTAAAGGAGCATGAAGATTGTCTGCCAGTTATCCTATATATCACCATGACCAAACACCCCTCCCCCCACCCAGGCACATGAATCTCTGGTGTCATTCTTTGCACTTTTGTGCATTTTTTTTGTTGGTAGTATGCAATAGCCTACTCACACTCATCATGTGCCTCTCTATTACCCCTTGGGTTCATGGAAATTTTAACATGTATGTAAAAGCATTTTCCAAACCACAAAGAATTGTACAGATATTGAATTATCATCATCATCATCACCACATCATCACCATCACCATCACCATCACCACCACCATCACCACCACTGCCACCACCACCACCACCACCACCACCACTACTAATCTTCTTCCTCCTTCCTCATTTCTACACATCATTGTTGTGGTTAAGTCATGTCCAACTCTTTGTGACCCAATTTGGAGTTTTCTTGGCAAAGTTACCAATGAGGTTTGCAATTTCCTTCTTCAGTACATTTTACAGACGAGGAAACTAAAGCAAACAGGGTTAAGTGACTTGGCTAGGGTCAAAATGCTAGTAAGTGCCTGAGGCCAGATTTGAACTCGGGAACATTGGTCTTCCTGACTTTAGGACCAGGACTCTGGCCATTCTATCACCTCACTGCCTCTATATCATCATATGCTATATGAATTTCAGATGTCTACTTCCTTGAGATGTTAAGATGGAGAACAAATGCATTATCACCATATTAGAGCTAGAGAAACTGAGACATTGAACTGTTTCATGACATCTAGTGGCAGAACTGGGACTACAATTCTGGCCCCCTGAACATACAACCCCATGTATTCTCCGTTAGACATTCACCCACTTAATAAAGTCTCTTAGGCAGACGTTACACTAAGAGTATGAAAATTCAGTGCTATAAAAAGATTGTTTTCTTTCTCTCATTAGCCCTAAGAAACAATAGGTAGTGTTCACTTTCCTCATCTATAAAATGAGAAGATTTTATTAGATGATCTCAAAGTACCTTGTTAGCTTTAAAATTCTATGGTTACATGATTTTCAGTGTCATAACTAAGTTATTCAAAAAAAGAACCAATTATAGATATGATTCAAAGATGCAAATTGCCTAAATTCACTATCCTAACAATTAAGAACAAACACTTTTCCCATACTGGGCATTTTCTTTTAAACTGTGCTTCACTGAAAGCTAGTTTTTAAAATTGTTTTAAAAGTATAGGAATTTACATAGAAAAAATACTGGTAATACAAATCCCATTTTTCTATGAAGTCTGGCCCTACAGTGGAGTGTGAACAACATTGTATTATTGTTATTTCTAGAAAATTTCTATTTGCTTATGTTACAATTTTCCACATGCAAAAATTGTTGAACTTGTTGATAATGGTTGTAATCTGAAAATTTAGTTTTATTTTATTATGTCTAGCTACCTATCCAGTGTTCATTTTAGTATAAAAAATCATATCTCGTAAACATCCCAATGTATCATAATTCTTAAATATTGTTTGTTTTTACCAGATCTTTGTTTCTTTGAATTAGGTTGACAATTAATGCTGAATGCTATCTTCAGCTACATAACTTCCCTATGGATGAACATTCCTGCCCACTGGAGTTTTCCAGCTGTAGGTGGTAAAATATTTCATAATTTTATCAAACTTTAAATTCTGAGATTGTTTATTTAATGATTCCAAAGGAGGAAATCATTTTCTTTGATTTCCATAAATGTGTGTTGGAGTTATCTACTATAGATTGGACTACATAAAGTACATTCAGCACTTAGTCTTCTCCTTTTAATCCTAAAAAAAAAAAATGACACATGACTTAAAGATAAATTGGACATCTCAGTCATCATACTATATAAACATTAAAATTATCCAAGCAGCAACTATTTATTCTGACACAGTTGAACAATATTTCAGAGCTTGTCATATGATATCTCAATAACATATATAGGTATGAATGTCAAATCTATGGCCAGACTTTCTTACAGAGGTTCTAGAAGACTTTATTAGAGTTGTCTACACTTTGCAGAAGAAAGATTTGACTCTTTTGCCAAGATTTGTATAATTAAATACAATTCAAGAACCACTTTTAAGACTGTGAAACACATTGCACTATAGTTGATTATATACACACAGCCTTGGATCTGCATGAGTTTATATTCTAAAGGATAACATCAATCCTTTTGCTAATTCTCATTTAATATAGGAAGGGAGAATATTTTTCTATTGAAACTGGATGAGTGAGAGTAGCCAAGATAGAAAATACGGGAGGTTTTGTGTACTGTTGTTGATAATAAAGAAAGAAAAAAGAACTTAAAATGAAATAACATAGATATTAATTTTTAAAAAATATATACTCGTACATATAATTCACCCAAGAGACCACAAATTCCTTGAGGGTTGGTATTGTGCTGATTTTGATATTTTCATCATACTATATAAATAGTGATTACTCAATAAAATTTTAACTTAAGTTGGATGAGAACTACACTTGTGAAAATACAGCATAATTATTTACTACATTTCTTCTCAGGAACTCAGTATACATTTGCATTTATGATTTCATTTATAAACATTTTAATATAAGGTTTTTATTTTTCTTGATGACTTGCTAATAATAAAGTTCATTCTTTGCTCTCTACACAATGGTCTAACAACATTTTTTTTTATTTTCAATGTGATTCTATTTTTTTTATGAAGCACATTTCAGGAATTGTTTTTATTGCCAAAAGTTCATTGTTATGTCTATCCAACCCCAACCTATATTAAATTCAAGCATGTTTATCACTAAGTACAACTTTATAGAAATATTCAGGGAAGAAAAAATATGCAAAAAATGGTAAAACTATTATATTTAACACAAGCTTATGAGATACCTACGAAAAACACTATGACAAATGTGTGTGTGAAAGAGAGACAGAGACAGAGAGACAGAGAGAGAGAGAGAGAGAGAGAGGGAGAGAGAGAGAGAGAGAGAGAGAGAGAGAGAGAGAGAGAGAGCGAGCGCACTCCTGATTTTAAGAAGCTTCTCATCTTTAAGAGAGATGGCATATATACAGATGTGATTATATTACAAAGCCAGACAAGATAATCCTATGAGGTAAAAATGAGAGGATCTAGGGAGATTCCATGGAGGAGGTAGATATTGTGTTGAATCTTAAAGGAAGGAAATAATTTGAACAGGTAAATATTTGAAAGGGGGAGAAATGTTGCAGAGAGTTAATAAAGGGGACACCAAAAAAAGCAAAAGCATAGATATATACCTTCATATAGAAATAAAGCAAAGGTATGGAAGTACCTTTTAGAGAAGTTACCTAATACTGTCTCAAGGAGTAGGTATTTCATAAACCTGTACTGAATATGACACTATCTAGTGTGCTTGAGAAAATCACAAAACTTTGTTGACTGGATTCACTAAATCCATATTGGTTTTTGAAGAATTGAGCACATGAACAACAGTAGTGGGAGACAAGTCTATACAATTCAGTTGATACCCATTTCTTAAAATCATACATACTGATTTAATGGGTTAGGAATTTATTGATTAGGCAATAGAAAGTCCTTTTAGAGGGTTTTTGTTCCTCCTGCTCTCATTGGATTTTATCATCAGGTTTGCATGTTAGAATGGGAATGGATTAGATATGGGGAGAATAGAAGCAGCAAGATTGCTAAGGAGGTATTAAAATAATGCAGGTGAAAAATTAACATGGGTTTATTCTTAGGGTTATCTTAGAGGAGAGAGAGAGAAGATGGGATAGATGTCAAGCTAGGACCAACAGAACGCATTTACTAATTGGATGTGGGAAGAGATTTAAATATAACATTGATGATGCTACATGTCAGAGATCTAAATATTTGATGTGACTCAGGCATCATGAACTTCTTCAAATGTTACTTTCTGGTCTAAGACACTATTGAAGTAAAAAAGAAAAAAAGTCAAAAGTGAGAAAAATATTATGGGTGGAGGTGAGGGGAAAAAAGAATAAGGGGGGATAGGAAGTGAAGAGACAGACAGAGAAAAGAGAAAAATAAGTGACATTTTCTGATATTGGTTGTTCTCTTTTTTTGCACAAAGTTATAGACTGCTGGGACATTTTGATCACATTATGTTCCTATGATTTTTTTCAGATGGGTATCCTAGAAATGAAATAGAATATAAATGGAAGAAAACCTCTGTGGAAGTAGCAGACCCTAAATATTGGAGATTGTACCAATTTGCATTTGTGGGGTTACGAAACTCAACAGAGATCTCACATACACTATCTGGTAAGAAAAACATCAATAATAACAACAAAACAGGGCATTAGTCATACCTTTAAAAATGGTTATCTTTGGATTTTTCCATACATATCTGTCTCTTTATATATATTTTAATTGTATAAATAAAAATGCTGCTTTTGGGGGGATATATTATAAAGGGGATTCTTGTATAAGCATATGTTGGATTAGGTATTCTCTAAGGTCCCTTTCAACTCTGACTTTTCATGATACTGTGACTAAATTATGCCTTTTTCATCCTTTTCTTTTAGGTGATTATATTATCATGACAATCTTTTTTGATCTGAGTAGACGTATGGGATATTTTACCATTCAGACATATATCCCATGTATATTAACAGTTGTCCTTTCCTGGGTATCATTCTGGATTAACAAAGATGCAGTTCCTGCAAGGACATCATTAGGTATGAAATATTAAAATATACTTGCTGCAATATGTCTTTTTTATGAGTGTACCACCAAATGTATTACAGTCTGTGCCACTAGGACCTAAATCAGTAGCATCTCATAGGACCCCTTTGCAGTACCTTGATTAGAGGGGCAGCAGGAAAAAAAAAAAAGATTACAGAGTGATTAGATTTTAAGACAATTCATCCTTTTCTGTGCAAATGAGGACATAGGAAAATGGAATCAAGGGAAGGTTAGGTAAATACAATTCTCCTGTCCCTAAACCATATTGTATTTGATAATTTCTGTCATTTCCCCTACTAAGCCTTTTACCATAGTTACAAGGATTAAATAAACTGCCTCTTATTGCTTCTGTTTGCTTTTGGTGGTGGTTATAATGAGAAAGAAGCAAAGGGTCCAAGAGGCAGAGAACTGAAGTAAGAAAGATGAGAAGCTGGGAATTGAGTAATCTATAAATTGACCAATCAGCTGCAGAGATATTGAGTGTGCCTGGACAGTAACAATGATTAATAATGTGAATTGTTATTTACAATTGATATGTTTGCTTTTTGCTATTAATTATTTTTTATGCTAGCACTTCTTTTTCTTTCTTTTTTTTTTTTTAACCAGGGAGCCATTTCCCAATAAATACACATCTTTCTCCACAAAGTACCTTCTCTTGAAACAGTTATCCCAAACCAGGTACTTAGGATGACTTTAACTGATGGTACATATCACTTTGTAGTTTTGTATTTTACTGATACTGAACAGAGGGAATGTATTCTTAACAATGATAGCAACAAGACAACACTGTCTGTTGTATTGTTAATTCTATTTCTTTTCAGAGTTTGCTTATTTACAAACTTGCAGTCATTGATATTTTGTTTTATTAACTTTTATCATTTTAAACAATTCTTCTCATGTTCTCTGAATTCTTCCTAGCCATCGCTAGTCATAGCACAACAAAATCCTTTTATATTCATTACCACACTTTCTTCAACAATATCGCAATCATTGCGCACATATTTTGATTCCAACTTTTTGTTATAAAAAATCTAGTTATGTAAATCTGTTGTGTATAGGGTCTTCTCTTGTTTTCAATAAATTTCTTTTGCTTTGTCTTTTGAAAACATTATAATAACATTGAACTATTCTGAAAATGAACCAATTATTATTTTAAAGTCACATAAAAACTATTTCCATGTCTACAATTCATTTACAAAGATAGCTTATTGTTCAATTGATTCACTCTGATGAAAAATAAAACTTTCTGACTACTAATACTGATTTCATGAAAAAACATTAAAAGCTAAAGGCAGAATTTCTATTTTTAATCACAAAGGGCCCCTTCATGTGGTTGCCTGATATGGCTGGTGAAGATCTTTTAATAATGTATAGTAAAATGTAAATCACTTGGAATCATCAATATTAAAGCTCAAGACATCTAACTACGCAGCTGGCAAAAAAATTGCCTTGGGAGTCTGACAAGGATGTAGATGTTGCTAATAGAATATATTCTATACCTACCTTTACTTGGTTTCCTATGATTACTTTAATATGAAATCCATTTTTGTTTCCAATATACATACCATGTTACATTCTTCTGTGTATTATTGGGTTTGCAATTATAAAAAAAAAAACCCTTGCCTACATGACTTTATGGATTTTAAATGGCATTTGATAAATGATTGGTTTTCTTGAGCTATTAAATAAGAGACTATAGTGAACAGAGCACAGTTACTGGCAGTTGGGATGACCTGGGTTTAAATTCTACTTTTAACAAATTACATAGTAGCTTTGTAACCATGCACAGGCAAGGCATTTAGCCTTGCTGAGTCTCGGATTTGTTGTATGTGAAATGGGGGGAAATGGTGCCTATTTTACATGGATCTTATGTGGATCAAATGAGATAATATTTTTTTTTCTTTTTTGGCTAGGCAATGGTGTTAAGTGACTTGCCCAGGGTCACACAGCTAGTAAGTGTCAAGTGTCTGAGGCCAGATTTGAACTCAGGTCCTCCTGACTCCAAGGCCAGAGCTCTATCCACTGTGCCACCTAGCTGCTCCCATAATACTTCTAAAGTACTACTTTGTAAACCTTAAAGCACTACATGAGTGCGCTTTTGTGCTCTGGAGCAACCCCAGAGCCTCTGGAGCTCTTCCTGGTAGATGAATGTGAAGATTAACAACTCTCCCACATTCATGGAAAAGTCAATGTTATTTATAAAGTGTCTTTGGGAAACTGGTCCATGGAGGAGTGTGGTAGTTAGATGTGGAGCTTAAAATGGTTGAAAATTGTAATGGAAGAACCTATTTCTGCCAGATGTGATATGATTCAGACTATGCAGAGTATAAGACTCACCCAAGGAAGGAAATACTAGAGGACTGAACATGAAGTTCTGTAAAAACAGTGTCCATCCATCTGGAATGATAAGAGAGGGAATCTCCAGAATAATGGAGTCTATGGACAAGCTAGATGACAAAATACTTTATGGTCTGCCCTGACAATGAATAATTGTGTGCAGCACAGGGTAGAAGGAGTCATTTGCTGACTGAGTTGTGGGTCCTTCATTGCAACTCATTATTGAGTAAATGATCCAATCTTGAAGATAACCACTGGATTAAGTGCATGAGAGGGAAAAAAGGTTGTTTTTACCTTGAGGAAGCCTGGTATTATGGAGGGAAGAAGTCCTTGAAGTCTGACATATTGACTATGTGATCCTGATCAAATCCTTTAGCTTCCTGTTGCTCTAGGCAATTCTTTAAGAGGACAAGTGGCTGAGAAGGCACTGACTTGCATTGATGAAGGCAGTTTCATCATGTGGAAACTCACTATAAAAATGAAAAGATGGTTGTGGGTGGGGGGGTGGGGAAATAGACCACTGGCTCTGGAGTCAAGAGAGCCTGAATTCAAATCCTGCCTCAGACACATACTAGCTTTGTGACCCTGAGCAAGTTACTTAGCCATGGTTGCCTCCAAAGAAAAGAAATAGAAATCAAAAGATAGGACCAGTCCCTATTCATATCTTTGCCTTAGATCTGAAAGGAGACCTAAAAAGAAATGTAGTAGTTTCTGCTTCCCTTTAACATCCCATGCTTTTTCACTAGTATATCCATAACCAAGTTAGTAGGAAAGAAGAGGAAGGCTAACAGAGGCTTAGAATCAGAAAAGAACTAAATGTGCTTAGGGAATTGCCACATCAAATGTCAATTCAATCATTTGCTTCCTGAAGTCTCAATTGCATTTAAGCTATCCCCAGGACCAGCCTGGACCTGGAATGTCTCTGTCTCTCATCTCTCTTTTCCCTGTGACTCTCTCTTTTTCTGTCTGTCTCTATCTCTCTGCCTCTTTCTAGATAGATATAGACATATAGATAGATACACAGAGATAGATAGATGAGATAGATATATTGGTATGTTTATGCCAGACGTAGTGAGCTCCTTGAGAGCAGAGACCCCGGGGTAATTTTTTTTTGGCTTTATATCCCCAGAACTTAGTATAGTACCTGGAACATTGTAAGCACTTAATAAAAGCTTGTCTACTGACTGCAATAACTTTCTTCCTCCACTATGCCTTGTATCATCCCTGTTTTTCTGTTAATTTTTTAAAAAATCACTGTTTTTTTTAAAGGGGGCCTGAAAAAGTCCATTTTCATTATGAACTTGCTCACGTATTTCTTCCTGGGGGGAAAAAGTGTTAGGTTATTTCTATCATTAAGTTTATATGATGCCATACACCAGTGCATTATGAAATAGCAAATATGAATTATATAAGCGCAATATACCTGCAAGTATTTAATATTTTGAAATATTTAAACACAAACATGTTTTATCAAAGACTTTACATTCAAAATTTGGGTTGTATCAATATCTACCTGGCAAACAATTTTCAGAAATTGTGGACATGGTTGGACTATCCATTGGAGAATTTGGAGAGAAAAAAATCAAAGGTTAAAATCTAAGGCTTACAACAAGAGGCAATATAGTATAGTAGATATTGAGGTGGCACCACATCTGGGCATAGTTTTAAGACTCACCTCCAACACTTATTCATTGTCTTACCCTGATTAAATTGTATAACTGCTCAGTATCCCAGGCCAGGCTATAAATAACATTACTCACTTTGTATCTCCCCCATCAAGCACAGTGCCTCAAAAATTAGAGGTAAATAATAAATTCTTGTTGAAATAAATGAAAATGAAGATTTATCATTCCCAACAACGATCTGTGAATATGGGTTTTATGAATATGAAGTTTTAATTTGCCAACTGAATATATTATAATTTAAATAGTAATGAAGAGAATCTTTGTCTAAGAAAGACCTGGGTTCAAGTCCTTCCTCTGACAGATATTTACCAATTCAGTTACAATTCAGTTCTGAAACAATGTCTTGAGAATTTCTAATCTTTACTGGTAAAGGGAATTTCTTCATTGAACGTTCTACACAACAATGAAATCACAGGTCCAAACAAAGCAAAACTGAATAAAAATCACAGTATTTTTCATTTTTTTAAATAGAGGTAAGTTCTAAATGTTCTGCTACCCAGCTTAGAACAAATACTACTTTGTAGTTTTGAAATGCAAATACAGTTTAAATAGAGTGTGGTTGATATAAGGGAAAAGACCCGAGCCATCTGCCTTTGACTACCCTCAGTGCATATGGCAAGGAAAGAAAGAGATGGTGGTCATTTAACATATTTAAGTCTTTGATATAAAAACTATTTTTTTTTTCTGGAGGATGATGGAAAGAGCTACATAATAATTGAGACTTCATATGTTGCTATGAGTGGTGTCAAAGGAAAATTTGCATATCTGTCCAAATTTTTGAAAATGTAGAACTATAATTATATAGATAGATGTCTCTACCCATGCCATTATATATGCTTTTTTGGACAAACTGCAAAGATTTGTCATATGTAATACTTGCTTTTTAATAAATACCTTAGTGTCAGCAATATTATGTCATTATTCATTTTACCTTTTACTGTTAAGTTAGCTTTATTTTTATATTAAGTGTGAAAAGATCATGTCAGATCATGGGGTTACAGAGTGGCATAGTGGATATAGTTAGAATAACTAGAATATATAGGCATATTTAGAATGTTTAGAATGCGGGCATTCACATTAGAAAGACTTAGGTCCAAGTCCTGATTCTGACACTCACATGTGACCATGGGCTAGTCACCAACCCTTTTTTAGTTACAAAAGTAGCTGCTAGTGATGTCTGATTCATTTTTTCCTTATGAAGCTATAGGTATATACCTATAGGTAGATCCTGATACTGTATATTCACCTCTGTTGTAAACCATGTGTATCTATCTATCTATCTATCTATCTATCTATCTATCTATCTATATTTATACACACACAGGTGTATATGTGTGCTAGCTATGTGACTAGACAAGTCATCTAACATCTTTGACCCCAAACAACTCACTAATTCTAGTTACAAATAATTTGCATCAGTGGAGGAAGTTTTTACACTTAAAATTTCCTCACAAAAATAAATGAAAATTTATATATACATATAACTATATGTATATACATATATATGTGTACATCTATGTATATGTGTGTATGCACATGCATACTTGCAAATACATGCACATATGGGGGAATTAACAAGCATATGTTAAGTACCTGTTATGTGTCAGGCACTATGATAAGTGCTTTACAAATATTATCTCATTTGATCCTCATAACCCTGGGGGGTAGGTGCTATTTTACAGTTGAGGAAATTAAGGTTAAGTGATGTGCCCAGGGTCATGCAGCTGCATATGATGTTCCACAGTCTTTGGATGCTCCAGATCTTTCTGATTGAGAACTATTTGCTATCCACTATGCCACATTGCTTTTCAAAAATCAGTCAATAAAAGTAAGTTCTAAATTTTTTCAAAGCTTTTGTGAAATTAATTATCATGTAATAAGTAGCATGAACTATTTAAAATATTGATAATAAGATAAAATTGGAACCTACAATCATATTTATCAATAAATACTCCTCAAAATGATGAAAATCATGGTGATTTTATTATATTGCATATTAATTTTTCTTATTTTGAAAAAAGCTTTTGCCTTATTAAAGGAAGACTGATAATGTTATAAACTCTTTTAAAGGCTTTAGATTACCACCATAAAATTGGAACATGTTATAATTATAATCAGCAATAATTATTCCCCTCAAAAAGCATGATAATCAGAGTAATTTCATTGAATTGTTTATTTATTTACCCGTAGAAGATGTCTGTTATATGAAAAGATATGTGGTCCATAAAGCCACCTGATAACTTCTTTCTCTTCCTATTTGTCTGAATGTAGGTATAACCACAGTGCTGACAATGACAACACTGAGTACCATTGCAAGGAAATCCCTCCCTAAGGTTTCCTATGTGACAGCTATGGATCTCTTTGTTTCTGTTTGCTTCATTTTTGTTTTTGCGGCCTTGATGGAATATGGAACCCTGCATTATTTCACTAGCAACAAAAAGGGGAAGAAGCTTAAAGACAGGAAGTACAAACATAAGTCCAGGGTATGTTGAAGCTTACAAATCTGTCACTCCGGTCTACTTATAGTGCAGTACTGGAAAACATACGTATGTTATTTTGCTTATAATAAAATGCTTGAGGTATGGGGTATGATAGAGGGTGAATGAAAATAAAAGGAGATTAATAATACCAGTAAACACTCCTCCAATGCAAAATTCACCTTCAAGACCCTTGGAAGACCATTCCACACAAGCATAGACTTCTTCTTTTAGTTTAGCTCATCTTAAGTTCGAAACCTTTTTTTATGTTAAAATTTTCCCTCTCGCATTTTAACTTTGTTATAGGATTTTGGGTTCTAGCTGAACTTGATGAATTTCACTGAAATTATTTTCATAAAGAAACACGCTCTTAAAAGTTGTGATGCTACTTATTTTTCATTGCAGAAAAAGGCAGAATTATATATACCCCATCCCCACTATCTCCCCCTCCTACATGTACACTTTTTTGTTGTTTGGCATGAAATTAGAAAGTTGAATTGGATAATATCATACTTCAATCAATAGATATTAACATGATTCACTACTTTTGGTGAGCCTGGGAAACATAGCCATCTATTTTTTCCCCATTCTTTTTTCAAATACTTAAAGTCATCTCTAATAAATATTTTAGAAGCAAAAATCAAATATCTGTTTAATGATAATTAAATAGGTGAAAATGGTCTATAGGAAAAATAGTGTAGGGTGCCCTTTGCATCTAGAAACAAGGGAGGGATGAAACTCCAGATCATTATCCTCTTCTTCTTGAAAGTGATTCTTTTTCAGTTTTTTCTCACTTCATTTTGCCTCTTTCCTCCTTTACTTTCACTCTCATTCACTTCTGGGATATTTTGCAATTCATTTAAATGAAAAACCATTTATGTTAGTCTCAGTGCCAAATCTCTGATTGCTTGGTATACTTTCACGGGCACACAGATATACCCAGTTATCTGACTAGTTCCTTTGGGAATCAATAAGATCTTCCCACTGAAAATAGGAGGTACATCCCAAGAGAATGGAGCCTATTATCAGTCATGCAGCTCTGCAAATTTGCATTTCAGAATTAGTTTCTCACTCTGCCTTTACTTGAGATTATTTTATCTCTCATACAAACCCAAGTCAATAAATGAAACAGCCCCTTAGAGAACATTCAAGGCAGATAGACCATTCCCAACTATGTTTTGAATGGAGAGAAAGCAACTTTTCCACAATTATTTTTTAACTCAAGCTAAACATCTCCTTCAATGTCAAGTTTCTCCATATGTTGATCAGTAACCACATTCAATTACTCTTTTAAAACACTAGCATCTAACCTAGTTCTTCTTAATGGAAATTTTTTTCTGATATTTCTTGAGGTTACATTTGGAGGAATTTAACAATAGGAAAGTCTAAAGAGGCAACATGTGTCAGTGATATTAATTTCATATGATTGGAAAAACAACAGCAACACATAAACAAACCCTAAGATATGTTATCAAAGATTTTACAAATGAGCGTCAATATGCGGAATAGAGAGGTAATTTGATGTAGTGATAGATACCCAGCCTGAGAGTCTATAAGATGTTTCAACCCACATGTGACACATACTGGCTGTGTGACTTGGGGAAATTGCTTACTATTTCAATGCATCCAGGCAACTTTCTAAGACTACAAATTGCCCTGCAGAAGCTTCTCTGTGTTGGTTTAAGGAATTTCCCCATTAGGAAATGTGGGTAAAGGTAATGAAGAAGATGGAGTTTGACATCAGGCTAAAGATGAACTCCAGAAAAATCCTGATTCCATTTCTGCCTGTAATACTTATTGATTGTAGGACCATGGACAGATCATCTATCCTCTTGGAGCTAGCTGGCTATTAAGTTATAAGTAGATTCTGAGTAGCAGTGTGGAAAGTGTCCTTAGATCTTCAATGGATGAAGATGGTGAGATTTAAGAGTTAAAGGAATACAATTTCAGTTATATTATTTTATTTTAAGGCTATTGTGGCCTTTGCAGCTCCCTATTACAAATGTTAATAAGTTAGTGGCTGAAACCAGGACTTTGTAATTACATGTTGTGCTGTTATTGAGGATATTAAAAAAAAAATCCTTTAGACCTGTTAAAACTGAGCCCCGAGAGGCTACCTAAGGAGTTTGAAGACATTTTCCTTTCTTCTTAGTTTGGTTATGCTGCCTTGCCAATTCTTTCAACTCTAGATGGCATGCTGAGTGAAAAACTGGGTTCAGTGATCAAATCTGATTCTCCCCCATGGCTCAATGTTCAGCCATATGGTCTTGTTAATCAGGTGGATTGTAGCACATTTTCATGGTTTATAGACAGCTGTGCATACTGCTGTCTACAAACCATATACTTGAGGCCCTTATGGAATCTCTGTCTCCTTTCTGTTCCAAACTAAGCAACCAAACAGTAAGCTCATTGCCAAAAACATCTGCCTGTTATCTGGCCATCACATCTGTTTATTCTGTTCTCTCTCATACATTTTACCCCTGAACATATAAGCTTTTAGAAGTATAGATTTCATATTATATATAATATACATACATATGTACACTTATATATACATATGTACACTTACACACATTACCTAATGTACATATATACATGTATGTGTGCATACACAGACAAATATATGGCTAGATAGATAGGTAGAGATAGACAAATAAATATCCTTTTTGCTCATTTCTTCATAGAAATCCTAGGGCCTAAGGCCACAGCTGCTGGGTCAGAGTAGCTAAAAGGTCAGGGCATTTTTCTTGAAGCTCAGAGAAAACACTTTCCATAACACAGTTGGTGGAAAAATCTCAACCCTCTAGTCCTTGGATTCTTTTCTTAAGGAACATCCAAGCCTGCAAAATAATTAAGTTATAACCGCAGTGAGACCTGACAAGATACATTTTTTTCAACCTGTCAGTTTCTCAGAGTGTAGGAAAAGAATTGTTCATTTACATTAATTCTTTTGAGCCACAATCCTATTATTATAGGGTCATTTTCAATGGTCCCTAATTTTATTTCTAAATGGTTGGGTCTTTTTTTTAAAGAAAAACTATATTAATTAAGTAAAAAGTGTTGAACCTAAATAGAAGGATATTTGTATGGTGCAGTCAAAAGCTATTGTGTAACAATAGCAGTTATTTTTCCATAGGGTTTCTCACCTAAAATCACCATGTAAGATAGCAAATTTTTTGTTATTCCAGACCCATAATATTCACTATTGAGTTCTTCATCCAACAAAGACCCAGAGGAGATTGTCAATAACAACCAAGGGGACCAGAAAGCCTTCACAGAAGAGGTAGCATTTGAGTTTAACTTTAAAGGAAAGGTAGAAATTCTACAGGAAAACCAAGGAGAGCATAGAGAATAATACATAGGCATAGAGACAGGAAAAGACAGGCAAAGTTTGTAATGTAAGTAATACCATAGATGCATAGAGTACATGGAAGGGCACAACATGAAAGAAGGCCAGAAATGTAAAACAATGGCAAGTTGTGTAGGCCTATGAGCATTTTCTTTTTACTTGTTAAGTAGCCAATAAATTATTACCAAAGATTTGTAGATACGGTCATGTTGAATCATTAGGATTATGAATAATGAAGACTATTCTGGAAGAAATTAAAATGATAGTTCAGAGGGGGAGAAGGTAAACACAAGAAGAGAAAAATTTTTCAAGATTCTAACACAGAGGGTAATAAGAGTCCATATTAGTGTGGTAGCAGTAGGAATGATGAGGATGTGATGATTGGGAGAGTTGTTGCATCAGTGAAATTGATAAAAGGTGATTTCCTGATTAAGAGAAATGATTTGAGAAGGAAAAGAGAGTGAAGAATCAAATATAAAACCAAGGTTTTGAATATAGGGATTAAATAAAGTGATTCCATTCAGGGAATTAGTTAAATTTAAAATAGGGGCAATTCAAGAGGCAAATATAATGAGCTTTATTTTTAATATATTGATTTTGAGATTATCATGGAACATGCAGGTGGAGATATCTTGTAGGGACTGTCAAGGGGTGAATTCATGCCTCAGAAAAGAGATCAATGAAGGGGATTTTGACTTGGAGGTCATCTTCATGGAAGGAGTGAGTAATTTTAGTAACTTGACTAGGACTCAGTTTTTTCAACTCTAAAATGAAAAGGCTGGATGAGATGAACTCAAAGATCTCTTCCATTTCCAAATCTCTAATACTGGGAGCCTATGATTCAATGAAACTTATTATTTTTTTCTTTTTTTTAGATTTAATATTTTATTTTTCCCCATTACATTTAAAAACACATTTTAACCTTCATTTAAAAAAAAAGTTTGAGTTACAAATTTCCTCTCTCACTTCCTACCTTCTCCCCTTTATTGAGAAGGCAAGCAATTTGCTGTAGGTCATACACATGCAGTTATGCAAAACATATTTCCATGTTACTTATGTTATGAAAGAAAAACAGACAAAAAAAAAACCAGGAAGAATGAAATGAAGAACAAGTATGCTTCAGTCTTCATTTAGACTCCATCAGTTCTTTCTATGGAAATGGATAGCATTTTTCATCATAAGTCCTTCAGAATTGTCTTGGATCATTGCATTGCTGAGAATAGCTAAGTCATTTACAACTGATCATCATACAATATTGTATATTGCTGTTACTGTATGAAATATTCCCTTGTTTCTGGTCATTTTACTTTGCATTAGTTTATGCAAGTCTTTCCAGGTTTTTCTAAGAGCATCCTGCTTATTATTTCTTGTGACACAAGAGTATTCCATCACAATCATATATCACAATTTGTTCAGGCATTCTCTAATTCATGGATATATCCTCAATTTCCAGTTCTTTGCTACCACTAAAATACCTGCTATAAATATTTTCATACATACACAGCTTTTTCTTTGTTTTTTATCTCTTTGGAATATAGACCTCATAATGGTATTACTTGGTCAAAGGGTATTCATGGTTACATAATTGCATATACAGAATTGCTATACAGAAAGGTTAGGTCAGCACAATTCCACCAACAGGGCATTAGTGTCTCAAGTTTCACACATCCCCTCCAAAATTTGTCATTTTCCTTTTCTGTCATACTAGGCAATCTAATAGGTGTGGGGTGGTAGCTCAGAGTTGCTTTAAAATGCATTTCTCTAACCATTGGTGATTTAGAACATTTTTATATGACTATAAGTAGTTTGGATTACTTAATCTGAAAACTACCCATTCATATTATTTGCCATTTATTACTTGGGGAATGGCTCTTACATTTTTATAAATTTGACTTCTTTACATATTTGAAAAATGATGACTTTATCAGAGGAACTTGCTGTTAATTTTTATACAATTATAATTACTAACTATGTATTTCCCTAGAGCTATTTTTCCCCCTTTTATCCTACTCTTTCTCCTTTTACCCTGTCCATTCTCAAAAGTGTTTTACTTCTTTTACCTCACCCAATCTGCCCTCCCTTCTATGAACTCTGCCCTCTTTTCTTATCTCCTTCCCTTCCTATTTTCCTGTATTATAAGATAGATTTCTGTTTCTGAGTGTGTATATTATTCTCTCTTTGAGCCAATTCTGATGATATTAAAGTCCATATGCTCCCTAACCCCCCTCTAATTCAATGAGATTTAAAGGGAGAGTCTAAAAAGGAAAGATTAATGGGCCATGGATAAAGAATAGGGGGAAACCTACCTTAAGAGTTTAGAAGGAGAACAAGGTGCCAGCAAAAGAGAAAGTGGAATAATTATTAGAAAAGTAAAAGAAGATGGTATCTTTGGATTCAAGGGATCTAAAACCATCCATCATCAGGGATAGCTAACAGCATGGAAATATAGAGATTTCAAGGAGAATGAGAACTGAGAAAATGCCACTGGATTTGGTGATTAGTTTAGCAAAAGTATCTTTGAAGATAGCAGTTTTGAATGCTAGGGTAAAATCAGATTTCAACAGGGTGAGCAGAGATGGATGACAATGAAGTGGAGCATTGAGTATAGATAAATTCTTCTAAAATTGTGACTATGAAGGGTATGAGGAAGATGGAATAGAATTTGGATAGGAAGAAACATATATTTTCTTGACTGAGTAAAACTTGAAGGTATTTGTAGGCAGACGAAAATGTAACAGTGATGACAGTAATTGAGGGGACTGATGGACTCATCAAAGTCATCTGTCCTGTGGAATGTTCCCCTGAGGAGTCTTCTGTGCCTAGCCATACTGCCATCCTTGTGAAACAAAGTCATCAGAGCCATATCCTCTGAGCCTTCTATGTGTCCAAGATCTCTTAAATGTATATTTGTGATAGTACTTTCAGAAACTCTCTCTCTCTTAAGGAGACAACTCTCAAAAAAAGGGGTGAGGGTCCCAGAGAGTGAATGAGACACAGCCATATTCTTTTTAAGGAGATGAATATCAGCAGGAACAGAATTTTCAGGCATGTTAAAAGTCTTCTTGTAAATGGCATTTGGCAAATCTCCCAGGAAAGATTATGTGACAGTGGTTGTAGCAAGTACCTTACTTGAACAGCTATGAAGGATCAGGGGACTGACTGTAAAATGTGTTAAAGTGACCATTTTGTAACACTATGTTTGGGGAATCCAAGAACTGCTCCATAAGTTAAACAGTCACCAAGAATTATTTTTAAATGATAATTAGATAACACTTGGGATTTGTTTTTTATTTCAGCTTCAAAGAGAGAGCCATTTCTGAACATGATAAGTTCCCTGGTGCTTTCAGGGCTGTTTGCTAGAAATAAAGGTTGTCGTAGGTAAAGAGATCTAACTGAAAGCCTGAATTCTACCCCATTCCACAGTATTAAAGAATTCACATGAAATCAATCAATCAATCTGTCTCTCTCTCTCTCTCTCTCTCTCTCTCTCTCTCTCTCTCTCTCTCTCTCTCTTATCATTATTAGCTGTGACTATGCTTAAGTGAATTTTAAAAAATGCATCTTCCTTGGCTGCAGCTAAGATAAGCAGATTTCTACTGGACACATTTCCCTGGTTAATTCTTCAGTGGTTTCCAGGATACAAATCAATGTATTCCCAATACTTTCTTCCATTGCTGGGGTGACAGCTAGTTGGTTACTTAGGTAAATAGATACAGTCGTGTGTATATTTGTTCAAATAAGCAGAGTTATTTGAACATATACGTTCTATTTTCCCTTTTTAAGTTATGTTGTATGTATGCTGGCCATGCAAAATGTATTTCATAATTATCTTGCTATAGCCATAAAAATTACACATCTTCTAAGTAGGTGCTTCATGAAAATTGGCTGCAAAAAAAAATTGGTATTTGTTAGGAGCAATCGCAGAATAAGAGCTCTCACTTAAAAGACTTGCAAAACATTCCACCTCAGGTTTCTATATTTTTGCATTGGTCATGCCCCATACCTGTAAGTCACCCTTTCCTCATTTATGCCTCATATAATCTCTTACTGTCTTCAAGAATATGTTCAAGCACCACTTTCTACCAGATGCTTTCCAAATCCAGCAAACTATTGGTGTCCCCTCACTAACTACCTTTTATTTAGTTACCCTATGTCTTTTTTTGTTCTGTATACATTTATTCTATATAAAATTTTATAAAATTTATTATTATATATAAAATTTATTCTATATGAATTTTTAAAAAAATCTATGTAAAATTTGTGTGCATGTTGTCTTTCCCCATATAATAAAATCTCCTTAAGAGAAGAGATTGTTTTATCTTTTGTCTTTGTATCTTTAGAACTTAGTACAATGCCTGACACAGAACACTCTTAATAAATGCTTGTGGATTGGTTGATTATTAATTTGAGGCTTACAAAAACCCTGTGAGATACCTACTATTTATAAGACACTCTTTCTAATATGATTAGAGCTCTAAAACTAGAAAGGACATTGAATTGCGTGTTTTTCCCCCATAAACTTATGTGGATTCCTGAAATAAATTATGAAACAAGAAAAACGTCCATGGACACGTACAAATGTTCAAATATGCATATTTTCATTTTGCCATTAGTATCTTTTTTTGAGGTTTGAATGGGCAGGAAATAAGACAATATTTGCTAACCTCAAAGCCCTACCTCAATGTTAATTGTTACTGTTATTATTAATTCAATGAGAAAAATCCAATATGTCCTTTTATTCAGAAATCACCTGCAGTTGCAGTCCGACCTGGATCTACATTGATTCCAATGAACAGCATTTCTCATCCACAACAACGAGATGATGATTATGGATATCAATGCTTGGAAGGCAAAGACTGTGCCAGCTTTTTCTGTTGTTTTGAAGACTGCCGGACAGGATCTTGGAGGGAAGGAAGAATACACATCCGTGTTGCCAAAATTGACTCATATTCCCGTATATTTTTCCCAACAGCTTTTGCTCTATTTAATCTTGTTTATTGGATTGGCTACCTTTACTTATAAATTTCCATTACTCCCAAATATTTACAAAGCCAAACTAAACATAGATATTGTTCGATGTAACTTAGTAACATGAAATTTATTTTTTTACCAATGCAAAAAACAAACAAAAAAAATACAGCAGTAGTTACTTTGAACATTCCATCACCATCTTTCTGAGGCTTCTAGAGTTGTAGCATTTTGAGCAAAGTTAATTAAGCACATATAAATTACAGTTGATGACATTGTTAGCCCTTACTAACAAGAATATCAAGATACTATTTATTTTTACCTATATTCACTTAATTTTTTAAAAATTAATTTACTTTCTATAAACACAATTTCAAAGATGTAAGCACTCCCTTGTGTCTGATGTTATGCTGAAATGTATTCCCAATGTTTGTCTAGAGAGTCAAATTCTAAAAAAGTAAAATGCTTATTTTTTATCCTAACCATTTTTTTCCAGTTTGAAGGTGTTACTCTCCTGAACTTATTGACTGTATGTAACAAATTTTATCTTTTTTTCAATTCACAAGATTTTAAGCATTTTTCTCTCACACTTATCCCTTCACTGAAGGGAAAAAAAATAATCCTTTTGACCAATATGCATAGTCAAACTAAAAAAAGTGTGGATTTTTTGGGAGTCAGGTGGGGAGAGAGATACAATAGGATTTGATTTCACTTTTTCTTTGTACATTATATGTATAGATGTTGTTTTTTAAAGGACTTTAAGAAAACAAAACAAAATAAGATAAGTTATCTTTTTTTATCATGGCCTGGAAGTAGACCTAGATTCTTAAAGTCCAAGCCAGCTAAGATAAATCTGTGGCAGGTCTTACCTGGCCCCAAGCTGGAAAAGTTTTATGTACAGGCATGGTGACATACTTTTCTCTGAGCACCAGCCTAACAAAGTTTAGAAAGGCCTATCATCACTGGATTGGCTTACATAGTTATGATTGTAATACCTATACACATACATATATACATACATATATGTTTGTGTGTATACATGTATGTGTATATATGTATATATAGCTCACAAATTAGATAATGTCTGTGTACTGTTTTTGCAAACTGTGAAACACTATATGTCTGCTATTGTTACTATTGAGGAAAAGGTTAATTTTCATTCACTATATATTATGTAATGGAATCAAACTCTTCATAAAGAGAACAAAGGCCACTGATGGGCCAATTCCTAACCTTTTGAAGAATGATACAGAATTATAACTTTGCCTTTGTAGATCACAGAGCATGATACCCTTTCGACCTGAATACTATCATATTATGCTTTTGCTGATTTGGGAACCTGGAATAAATCCAGGGGAGGAATTTTTTTTTTACAAGCAAGTTGAAAGCATATGCATCTAAAACCATAACATCTTGCAAAAAAAAAAATGAAGATGTGAACATAAAAATATTGAAATCAGCTAGCAGTGAAAATAAATGTAAAAAAGGTAACAAATATCTTTATTTTACATAAACTTGATGTTGAATTTTACTCAAAACTAAGGAGCAGTGCTTCTAACTTGTCAACTGTATCTATTTGTTTATCTATTTCCTTGATTCTCAAAAAGTGTCTACAATATAACAGGTGATGATTAAAATGTCTTTTATTTGCATAGGTCATTTAGCTTATTAAAAATAAGAACAACAACTTTGCATGTGCAGTATGATATCATCACAATCCTGTGAGACAGAAAGGGCACATATTACTATCCTCATTTAATAGAAAAGAAAACCATGTCACAAAGGTATTGAGTAAATTGTCCACAGTTACTGAGGCAACTGATGGTTGAATTATTGCTGGAGCAAAGTTCTTCTCATCTCCATACACCAGTCATGATGATATAATGAGATCTTGAATAGCAGAACCCTCAAGGGCTCCTTGTCAAACTCAGGCTAGTGAGATTTTAGAAGTACTCTATTCAGAATCAATTATTAAAATTTTAATTTTGCTTTAGTCTCTGGTTAATCCTAATCTCTCCAATGTGTAAATTAAGAGGAAATATTAGAATTATTGAGGGAATCCAATTATACCACAACCTTATCTATCATTTGAGGTGGAGAAAGACAGAAGACCTAGGGTCAGAAAGGAATTTAGTGGAAGTGGCAGAATTTTTCATTTATATATTCCACAAATATTTATTAATTTCCTGTGATGTTCAAGGCATTGTCACTAGTACACAAACTTTACTGGTTGCACATAGTGGAGTTTTGTTTTTGTTTTTGTTTTTTTTTACTACCTCTGAAGTCTCCATGGATAATGGTTCATTACAGGATATCATAAGCTTCAACAATATTTATTTTGACTGGGCCAGTGGCATTTTGATGTCTCATGGATTTGGGGCCCATTATCTTTATTTCTATTGCAGGAGGCCCTTTCTCAACTGTATGTTACTGGAACTGATGGTATTAAGTAGAAGGGCTGTTCTGTATTTTTGAAATCATTGATTTCCCAATATAACAGTATCAATATTCCTGAAAATGATGAATCCTAAAAGCTAGTTTGATGGTTTAGTGAAGTACATTTTTTTCTTTTTAATTTTTTTAAAAGAATTAGTGCTGAAGGAAATATTCTAATTATGGACTGAAAACTAGGGACTTATATTTTACATAACAAATCTTTATTAGCATTTGTATTCTACTACAAGCAGAAGCACAGTTATTTTCAAGTGTTTAGTCCTTTAAAATAGTCTGAAATATTTACTCCTTAAAAGTTTTCCATTTCTCTCTTTGTATCTCCAGCATCCAGCACTGTGCATGGTATGTAGCCAATATTTAACAAATGTTTTTTGACTGATTATGAGGAAAGAAGAGACATGAGAGTCATAGGTTTTCTGTACTGCCCAATGCTGGCCAGGTGACAAGGAATGTATTCCCATTTATTGGCATCATTTATAACCATCACTATCATAGAACTGAGTTGGAATAGACTACAGAGGCCTTCTAGTCTCATCCCTTAATTTTTTAAAATAATTATTTTATTTTTAGTTTTCAACATTCACTTCCATAAGATTTTGAGTTTTAAATATTTTCCCTATCCCTTTTTCCCCCTCCCCAAGACAGCGTGCAATCTGATATAGGCTCTACTTATATATTCATGTTGAGCATATTTTCCTATTAGTCATGATGTAAAGGACAATTAGAACTAATGGGAGGAACAATGAGAATGAAACAATAACACAAAACAACAAAGGAAAAGGAAAGCAAATAGTATGCTTCCATCTGCATTCAGACTCCTCTTTCTCTGGATGTGGACACCACCCCTTAATTTTACAGAAAAGAAAAGAAGACCCAGAAAGAGTAAATTATTTCTCAAGGTCACATAGGTTGTAAGTAGCAGAGATAGAACTTGGACCAAAGTCCTCTATCTCTAAATCCAGAGCTCATTCCTCTATATCCCTCTTCCACCAAAAAGATGGTACTTATCTACACGTGCCTTAATGGTTAATAGAATAGGTAGTCAACTAGGCTGGGCAACCCTGGAAAGCCCATATCCTAAGTAATTCCCTAAGGCTATAAGATGTAGTGTTGATGTAGTATGACTAAAATGGTGCTGACTCTTTTCCCAATTTACTTCTGAATCTACCAAATGAGGTAATATAGGTAGAATGCTTTGCAAAAATTAATGAAATTTACAAATGGTAGGTATTATTATTACTCTTATAATTATTACCCCCATAAATATCATTCCTTTGTAATAAGATATGAAGTTCAAGAGGACCTTGTTGAAATCCAAATATGTCACTTTGAAGGGGTAACATCTCCATTAACAGTCTTTACCAATATTATATTTATTTTCTAATAACTTATTGGGATTAAGAGATTTTAAGGGACCTTACAGATCATTTGTTTTAGTATCCTCATTTTGTAAATGAGGAAACTAAGGTACAGAGAGGTGAAAGGTTTGCCCAAATTTATCTGGATATTACAGAGTAGAGCTGGGTCCAGGTTGTCTTATATCAGCATAGCAATGCCACGTGGCTGTGTTAATTTAATGATAATAAAACATTTTTTAAAAAGTTATTTCAAATAATTTTAATACTATTTCCTTGGTTTTCTTGCCAAAATATCTCTTGGGAAGTAGCTGGTTTAAAAAAAAAGGAATTAATTTTAGAACATCTTGTTCCATAATCAGAATGAAAACATAAATATTGTTAGTATTTTTAGTGTTTTAGTATTTTTTTAATTCTTTTTTTCTCAGAGAGACAGTAAACCTGTGTTGTCACTGGTATGATGAATTTATGGGTATGGAAACTCTCTCAATAGGTAAATTGTAGAAACACATCTGTCATGGACAGTCTTTGAATGTTACCTGTGACACTATGACTTTAAGAGAAATGACTTGGATTTATTAGAGACAAGGCTTGAATTTAGTTTTTTCCTGAAACTAAGACAGACCTTCTGTATGATGCAGCATGCTGACTCATGCCAACATATAATCACTAGCCCACTAAATTTGAGAATTGACAAGATTTTGAAGGAAAAAAATATATAATTGTTTGGTTTGGTCACATATCAAATGTCATGGCTGGTATTGCTTTATGAATCAGGTATTTTAAAAAGGATTCTGCTTCTCTCATCTCATTCAAATAGCGAAAATGAAAATAGAGTTCTAAGAAGATGCAGTGGGAAAATATTTTAAAACTCCCCTGAATCAAAAATATGCACAATCTAAAGCAAAATAAAATAAAATCACAACAAAATTGTGTAGATTCGATTTTTAAATAGATGTTTATTTAATGCAGGAATTTGTTAACTGTGATGCAATTCAAATCAAAGATCAAAACCAAAGTGAATATAGTCCCCACATTGTATCCCTGAAAATAAGCATAAAGTAGATTGTAATATAGTGGATCAAAGCTGTTTGAAGATATATTTTAAGCAAATAGAAAGTTTTTGAAAGACTTAATCTCAAATAAATCATAGACCAGTGTCAGAAATACAAAGGTAATATTTCCATCAATCTCTAAACTCATTTGAAATAAGAAAATTACCATCCAAATCTTATAAAATTCATAATCCATATTACTTATTACTAGGTTGAGGTATCAGAAATCACTGATGTGTACACATAAATAGATCTTAAAAAAATACCTCCATCATACTATAGAGTTGACATATATATATATATATACTGGCACAAATTAGATGCTTGATGTGTTAAGAAATGAATAGACTAGGTATGATACAATTTGTTCAATTGTTTGAGAATAATTCTATCTTCAAATTGAGAAAGACTTTTCTATCATGATCTAAGCAGCCCAAGTCTATAAAAAGCTATCTATGAAACTTGAATTGATTTTTTCCTTCTATATATAAATTTCCCTTTAGCAAACTTTCAGACTCTTTCCATTAACACTAGCATTCTGCTCAGAGTACTGTATAGTAGGGGTCTAATAAAAAATGTGGTGTTCTTGATAGAATGACCCACATTTTCTTTTCTTACCTTTTTATAACTTCTTTATTCAAAGATAAATTTGCTTTATATCAGATGAAATGAAAACCATTAGGAAACAAATGATTTGAAGCTGCTCTTTTCCTCATTTTTCACTTCCAAAGAGCCAATTTGAGATTTTGTTGACTGCTATCTGAACAATTCCAGTTTTATTGAAGAGCCATAAAAAACAATTACCAAGTCATTAAAATGGCCTAAAAGTCTCTTGTAAAAAGAATTTCCAAATAACTTTCTTTGCATTACCAAAACAAAATAAAACATGATCTTCACTCTGCATTAGTTTTTACCTTTCTTTAACTGGATATTCAATTCAACTCAATGGATATGGAACATCTACAGTGTGACAAAAAAAGAGGGAACATGGCATCCTGGATCTAAATCCAGCTTCTAAGTCAGGAAGATCAAGGTTCAAGTACCCTCTCTGACAAATACTATCTGCAACCTTGCCAAATCATTTAACATCTCAGCGCCCTGAGGTGATTCGCTATAAGTTGAAGAGTAGAAACTAATGTAGTTAATAGTTATAGTATCCCTTACCTATAAAATCACAGGTTCAACTTTTTTTGAAAATGTGTGAGGAACTGTGCTAGCCACTGAAGATTCAGAAATGAAGCAGCCCTTGCCTTCAAGAAGCTTACATTCTACTAGAGAAAAATAAATGTACACACATTAAACCCTACAACTCCAGGCCACAGAAAGAGAGCTGACCTGCATAGACCTTATTTAAGTGTTTCCTGAAGCAGAGAATTCATAGGTCCAACATGGGACCTGAGATTTGAATAGAACATGGGTCTCTGAGACAGGAATTTCCTCTACCAAGGCAGGTAGGTCCCCTCTCTACAGCTAATAGTCTTAGAGAGTAGGCGAAGGTACTGAAACATTAAGTGACTTAGTTAAGGCCATACAGCCTGTGTATGTCAATGGAGGACTTTAATCCAGGTATTTTCAGCTGCTTTTATATACAGAGTACATACAATGTCACTGGGGAGAGGGAGTTACTTGAAGAAATAGTGAAGGTCCCCTGTGGAATGTAGTGCTTGAGTTGAACCTTGAAAGGAGTCACACATTCTAAGACGTAATAGAGGACAGCATTCCAGGTATAGGGGGGCAATCTATGCAAAGACATGGAGAAAATAATTGTAATATTGTAAGCAAGGAATTATCAAAGAAGCCAACTTGGCTGGAAAATAAAGCATGTAGATTGGACAAAGGGAGTAATGTAAAATAAAACTGAAAAATTCAGCAGGGTGCAAATTATAAAGGATTTTAAGGGCCATAAAGAGGAGTTTGGCTGAAACTGCCAATGAATGGGTAAAGACAAATGGGGGCACTAAAATAAGGTGTAATGAAAGGTCTGAATTACTTACTTAAATATTATGTCCACTCCTGGGATTTCTCCTGGAAGAAATAGTTTTCTAAGATGTTCAAAGGAAAAGTAAGTTTAAAAAATGAGAGTAAAATGTTTTTCTAATCTATTTTTAGAGTTTCAGTAAAAATAAAATTTGATGGACTTTTATTTCAATCATATTCATTCCTGGTGGCTATTAGCTACACTTGGGCATAGAGCCAGAGAAAGAAAATCTGAATTGAAATTAGTCTCAGAAGTCCCTTCCAGCTGTATATCCATTTTCCATGTTTTTATAAACTCGTACTTATATCCATCTGTTCCTCACTAAATGAGGTGTTCCTTAAAAGGAAAAAGCCCTGAGTTCAAAGTTGAGAGATCCAGGGAAATTACTTGGAATAGGAAAGTAAGGAGAGGAAGCTATCTTTTAGCAAATATACTTGTACTCACACACTATAAACTTTGGCAGTATAAGGATAATTATGTTGTCTTAATTCCATGCAATAAATACTTGAGTCTACATAAAATGAAAAAGAAGGACCGAGAGGGATGGTGTAGAGTAAGGTGTAATAGAAAAGAAGAAAAAAAAACCGAGGCACAAAATAATATGTATGAAAACAACACCGAAAGATATCAGACCTAAAATCAATGCAGTGACTATTTCAGGCTTCAGTGAACTGTTGTTGAAACATGTCTCCCTCCACTGGGCAGGGAAGTGGGAAACTCTAGGGGTGGATGAAGCAAACAAACTTCAGCTGACTTAATTGTTTTTCTTAGCTGTAGTTGGCAGTAAGGGAGGGTACTGAGCTGAGTGGAAAATATTTGGAAGTGACAGCAATATTAAAAGAATCAACAAAATATCAATTAAATGCTTTTAAAAAGAAAACCTCAAACTACTTGGAGGCAGAAGACTCCTGATAGACTTGAAACTTAATGCAACCTTAAACAAAGCAGCATGAAGTAGTGGGCAACACACTAGAATGGAAGTCAAGATAACCTGAGCTGAAATCTCACCTCAGAAGTGTACTAGCTGTGTGACCCCCAGGCAAGAAGGTTATTCTCTCTCTGCCTTACTTTCCTCATGTATAAAATGAGAAGATTTGATTCAATAGCCCCTAAGATCCCTTCTGGCTCTAAATGCATGATCCTATATGCCACTTGACCTCTGTAAGCATCAGTTTCCTTATCTATAAAAGG